CGCAACGCCGGCTGGAACGCGGCGCTGCTTCCCAGCAGCGGCGAGGCGCACGACGCCAGCAGAACAAGCACCACATCCGCAAATCGGGGCGCGGGCTCTGTGGCGCGAGCGCGCGTCGCGCGTTAGAGCGTGAGAGACTTGCAAAGCTCAGCGCGCGCGGGAACACCAATTCGACCCCGTCGAGCGGTGCACGAGCGCGTGGGCGCTCTGTGGAGGAGGGGGGCTCCTCCCCGCAGTCTCGAAGACGGCGCAGGTGCGAGTGGCACGTGAGATTGGGCATCCGAGCAGTTGCGCCCACTCGCAGGGGGGGATGAGTGGCGCAGCTCAGACCGCCTCGCTCACGCTGTGTCTGGCTACTCCGCGCGATGATTGCCCTGATCCTCTTCTTAAGTGCGCTATCATCTTGACGAAACGTTGCGCCAGCTTCACCTGGGATGCCAGAGTGTCTCTGTCTGATGTATAGTACACAAGGAAGGCAGTCGAAGACACTTGTTGGATTTGTCCAGCGGCTTCAGGCACTCCGAAGTCGCGAACACCCGCCTGAACGCATTGGGGCTGAATAAATGTGGAGGCGCACCACGCGCCTGGCCATCTTTTCTGTCCGCCGAGCGCCTACGACAGGGGCTCGTCGGAAGCTGTGGACACGGGGTTTGATATGTCCTGACAGCGCTGTGGACCGTGGTATCGGCAGCACCTGATGATGTGATAGAGTTTCGGATGACAAGTGCGATGCCAGTTGACGAAAAATGGGGGGCCCAAACACCTTCAACTTGACCTGCGGCCTGACGCGGGACACCCTTCAACCGCGACGGGATTCCATCTGTGGGAAATACTGAGGGTGAATGGAAATCGATTGCGTACTGTGACGCGTCAGGTATGCACAACCGCCAACCGACGCTCTTCAGACATTGTACACCTATGTGCCAGGACGGGGCTTCCTGCTTGTGTCCAATGTGGAGGCCTCCGCGGTAGGAGGCCAGACAGTTCTTCGAGGCGAGCAATCAGCTGGATACAGAGCGCTCGTGATGACGGAGCGATCTGGAGATGCTGTAAGTGGTCATGTTTTTGCCAGCGAAGCTGGGCGATTGACCCCATATCTGGAATCCAATGGACCTTTTCATTCATCACTGCGGCGGAAGATCTGTAATTCATGTCGTAATGACCCGGGGAGATGTGGATTCGCTTGGGCGCCATCGCGCAAAGTTGACGAGCAAATTCTCGAAGCGGGTGCTCACAGGCAAGCGCAGTCGGCAGCGCATGGCCGGACCTCTTCGCGCACGTTGGCGCTTCTGTAATCAAAATTGCAGATGTCCTGGCGGATAACCAGTGTGGGGTGATCCGGATGTCCAAACATATCGCTCAGTACACAGCGCTCATGGCCTCCAGGGCCGCCAGGATGCACAAAGCTTGAGGTGAGCTTGTAGTTAGAAGAGCTAGCATATTAATGATACCTATGATTTCCATTGCTGGGAATGACTGCTGTCCCATAGAAGAGCTAGATCTGGTCAGATGTAGGGAGTGTCTCAAGGAAACTGGCACTGCAGAGAGTTGGAAGGCGTCATTGAAGTCTAGGTGCACGGGCCCCTGTAAGATCAGAGTTGAGCACAAATTGGTCCAACGGGGTCCTGACGGGATTTGCTATCTCTGTGGCCACTACAGCTTGCAAAAAGGTAAATACGTTCAGCACGTATAAGAGGATTGTGAAAGGCCGCTCAAGAACAAGTCTACGCTGGCCAACGTCCGCTCGCAGATCAAGATGTTGGCTGCGGGACGTGAGCCGAAGACTCGGGGGCCCATCCCTCTCTGACCCAGGGGGCTCACACCTCACGTGGGTTCTTCGGTCCCTGGCTGACGCATTTCCCCTCCCCGTCGCATGGATGGGCCTGTGGGGGGGGCTGCACTCTGCCCATGCTCTGATTTAGGGCCTGCTTAGCCTTCGGTGCTTGATTACACCTCCTGCCGTTCCTATGTGTTCGGTTGAGGCTCCCGTTCTGGACCCCCTTCGTCCTGTCAGCAAAGCATTTAAACTCTACGCTTGAACTTCATTTGGCCGTATTCTTTCACTATCAGCTCCATCAATTAGCGGCAAAGTGCAGTGACAGCAAGTGGGAGGACTGGTGGCGGGCTTCCCGTTCGCCCAGGGTACCGCGACAAGATCATCTGCGTCGGCGCGGTCAGCAGCGAAGCGGTTGAGCATCATTTCGCGCGCATCCTCCACTTCCCCTCCTTCCCCCTTCTCCTCCTTCACCCCTCCTGCACCCTCTCCCCCTTCCCCTCCTCCGCCTCCTCCTCCAATTCCCACTCCGTCCCGCTTCCCAGACCACCGCCGCCGTGACTCTGTGCGCAACGTTGACCCCCAGAGGTCTCGACCCATTCCTCGAGACCGCCTCTTCATCCTGGGATGTTCCTGGGTTGTTTTTTCACGGCCCCGGGGCCCAGATGAATCTGCCGACCCGTCGGCGTGTGTGAGACGCTGTCGTCGTCGTCGTCGTCGCCAGTCCCAAAAGAGAAAGGAACGAACAGAAAAAAGAAACGTCGTACTCAAGCTGATTCACGCTCCTTTTTCCCCTCCCTGTTGGGGCTGGGGGGCACGGAGGGGGGTTGGGGGGCGAGTAGAAGGGGGTTATGAGCATCGATGAACCGATCCCCATCCCCACTGGCGTGGCCCAAGCCCCACTGGCCCATTTCCCCCTGGGATGGGGATACAGGCCGCTTCCTCCGGGCTCCGAGGGGTGTATCCCCAAAATGGGGTGGCACGCTGGTGGGGGTCTCCAAAGGGGATAGGGATGGGCATGGGGATCGGCGCAGCGATGCTCTGGCCATCGCTCGGACGTCCATTTCCTGTGCTCTCTTCGGTCTCGTGCGTGGTTTTTTTTGCGAAATGATCCAGGATGCTCCTCGATGGTCCTCGCCGAGGGAAAAAGGCACACCTCCGAGCGATGCCGAGTGCGGAGGGCAGGGGACGAAGGGGCCTCGGGTCCGATTGCCGCCCCCAGGCTGGAGCCCCAGCGGGCCTCCAGGGGGAGGAACCCTGTGGACGAGGGGGCGGAGGGAGCCGCTGCCCGCCTGCGGAGCGCATGCCGCCGCCCCCGCGAGGGGGCAGCTGCTGGGAGGCTGTCCTCCTCCTCCTCCTCCTCGCCCTCCTCCCTCCTCGCAGGTTCCTCCTTGCTTTTCCTTTCGCTTCCTCCTCAGCCTCCCTTTGCCACTGCCCATCACAACCAGCACCACCATCATCATCATCATCATCATCATCATCATCATCATCATCATCATCATCATCATCATCATCATCATCAGCATCATCATCATCATCATCATCATCATCATCATCATCATCATCAGCATCAGCATCAGCATCAGCATCATCATCATCAGCATCAGCATCAGCATCAGCATCGGCATCATCGTCATCATCATCGTCACCATCATCAGCATCAGCATCATCATCAGCATCAGCATCCTCATCATCACCACCATCATCATCATCATCGTCATCATCCATCAGCATCATCATCATCATCATCGTCATCATCGTCATCATCATCACATTCAGCATCACCACCATCGTCATCATCATCATCCTCATCATCATCACCACCACCATCATCACCATCGTCAGCATCATCATCATCATCATCATCATCATCGCCATCATCATCATCATCATCATCATCATCATCATCATCATCATCATCATCATCATCATCATCATCATCATCATCATCATCGTCATCATCGTCAGTATCATCATAGTTCAAGCGCGCCCCTCACACGCTTTTTGGCCCAGTAAGGAGCTCCACCGAAGGCTCCAGTGGCAGGATCCGCATGCGCTCTCGGGTCCATCTGGGCAACCCCCTCGCACGCTTCGTGGCCCCATGCGGAGCTCCACCGCAGGCTCCGGTGGCAGGGTCCGCATGCGCACTCGGGTCCACTTCCCCATAGGGAGCTCAACCGAAGGCTCCAGTGGTAGGGTCCGCATGCGTACTTGGGTCCATTTCGGCACACCCTTCACATGCTGCGTGGCCCCATCGGGAGCTCCACCGAAGGCTCCAGTGGCAGGGTCGGCATGCGTACTCGGGTCCACTTCGGCGAACACCTCACGAGCTCCACCGAACGCTCCAGTGGCAGGGTCCGCATGCGTACACGAATCCATTTCGGCACACACTTCACACGCTTCGTGGCCCCATAGGGAGCTCAACCGAAGGCTTCACTGGCAGGGTCCGCATGCGTACTCGGGTCCATTTGGGTGCACCCCTCACTCGTGGCCCCATAGGAAGCCATACCGAAGGCTCCAGTGGCAGGGTCCGCATGCGTACTCGGGTCCATGTCGGCACACCCTTTACACGCTTCGTGGCCCGATATAGAGAGCTGAACCGAAGGCTCCAGTGGCAGGGTCCGCATGCGTACTCGGGTCCATTTGGGTACACCCCTCACACGTTTCGTGGCCCCATACGGAGCTCCACCGCAGGCTCCGGTGGCAGGGTCCGCATGCGTACTCAGATCCATTTCGGCACACCCCTCAAACGCTTCGTGGCCCCATAGGAGGCTCCACCGAAGGCTCCAGTGGCAGGGTCCGCATGCGTACTTGGGTCCATTTGGGCACACCCCTCACACGTTTCATGGCCCCATAGGGAGCTCCACAGAAGGCTCCAGTGGCAGGGTCCGCACGCGTATTCGGGTCCATTTCGGCGCGCCCATCGCACCCCAACGAGTTCTTGTGCATCGAGCGGTCCTGTTGATAGTTTCCACGCACTCAAAAGGGCTTGGTTTCTTCGCCAGGGTAATTTGTTCCAGATTCCAGCTCACAGAAACGAGGGCTCGAGCCAGCCTTGGCCGGCTCACACGAGCGGGTTGAAACGCTCGCGGCCCCAAAATAGGGGAAAGACGATGTGACCAAAATCTGGCCCCGCAGTGGCCTACCCAACCGACGGAAACGCCGATGACAGTGGCCGCTGCTGGGGCCAGCTCTCGAAATTATGGTAGCGAGCACGCCGCTATGATCAAGCGAGGCCTGCTACGGCGACCGAAGCCACCTCTGGGCCACCGTCGCGGTGCGTTCCTGCTACAAGGGCTAAGCGCTGAGAGCAGGCGTCAGGAGCGGTGGTCACGTCCTCGTGGTCATCTTCTCCGAGTAGACCTCCGACTGCAAAGCCCGCTCGCCCCAAAAGCTTCACGTATAAGTTCAAGTAGAGGAGGTCGCTGTCCGTACGTCCATGAACGACTTTAAGCTCGACCTTGCCGAAGGCAATCCACTCCGGAGTCTTGGCATCATGCTGCGATACGCTGTAGTGGTACCCTCCGGCTTTCTTGGCCTCTGCCCAAGACCCGGTAACGTTGAGCTCTTGGAAGTACATGTCCGCGCATTGTCCACCCAAGCGGCGCGCATCGGCCTGCACGCGAAGCAGGGCACTGTCAGCAGCCGCTCCACGAGGGATGTGTATCAGAACATGCTTGCCCGCCTTCATCAGGTCGAACCGCTCACCGTGGATGTTTTGCAAGTGGGGGTCGCCGACGGCGGAAGCCCCCGCGCCTGCGCCGCCCGCACCTGCGCCGCTCGCAGGCACACAATCCGATCCTTCATTGACTCGCAGACCGGTCTGTGTGACCAAACCAACCGTTCAAACCATATGGCTGCTCCCACCTGATACCGGCTTTCCAAGGCCGACTAGAATCACCCGGCCCTTGATACCACGTGAATCCAGAGATGCTGTGCGCAACACAATCTGTGGCATAGAAACCGTTATCGTCGACGACCTGTTGGGAGATCGTGTACATTCCCGCCGTCAGGTGAATGGCCTGTGCCAGAGGAATGCTGAACCACGAACGGCAATTGCCGCCTGTCCTGGCATCCGTCGCTGAGCTGAATATGATAGCGATTTTCACGTCGTCTGGTTGCGCCCACACGCTCGGATCTGGGGTGGCTGTTCCGCCGCCAGACCAATTTGGCTCGCCTCGCAAGAGCCATAGTTCAAATCGGCGGCCACTAGCCGGAGTGCCAAACCTCGCTGTTAGCTCGAAGCTGCTGACAGTTGTATCTGACGTGAGCTCAAAGTTCTGACCGAAAAAACAATGATTAGAACACCAGTTGTGCATGTTCGTATCAAACACGCGGGTCTCAGTGCCATTGCATGTGAACGACGATGGCGTCGATGGCAACGGCGACGGCGCCGCCGCTGTCTGCTGCGAGGCGCTGCTCTTGCCCACCACTGCTCCAAACTGCGTCATGCTGGAATCCGCTGGGGCCGCGCCCAAGCTGGCGGCGCGGCGTGCCCCGACGAGGCTGGCAACCATCAGGAAGCGGGCCATCTGCGAGAACGGTGAGCCGACCAGAAAGACACGAAACGTGTGGGTTCGTCTGGAATTGCTGAGGCTTGGCTGGAGCCAGTCTTGGGCCAACTGGCGACGCCAACGGCGACGCGAACGGCGGCACCAATGGCGGCACGAATGGCGACACGAACGGCGGCACGATCGGCAAGCCGAATGCAGACCCTAATGGCGATACGAGTTGCGACACGAATTAGCACGCGAATGGCGACATGCGCGCACGTCCTGGATATGTCTTTCCTTTGCGTGCATCTCGTGACCGAGCTGGCAGGTCGCACTGAGGGTCTCTCCCCCGTTCTCCACTACTCTTAAGTCGGGCCTGTCCCTCTACAGGGGGAATATTCAAAAATAATAGAAAAATAATTGGGGGACGACTGTCTGAGTATGTTTTGACTATTTGTGACTATGTTTCGTATGTGTTTTTTTTCATCCGAAGTCCCCCTGTAGGAGGACATGCCCGACCAAAGACCACTCCTCCACAGCGGTCTTGGGCCATCCCTATGTGCCGACCTGGTAGCCCCCCTCCCTTCTACCCCATGCGAGGGTGCTGCGCGGACCCTCGCCCTAAACACGGATGTGTTGCCCCAGCCGCTTTCAGGCCCAGCTTGGCACGGGGAAAGGGGGGGAAGAAAGACAAGTAAGAAGAACACACGAAAGAGGAAAGAAAAGACACGGGACATGACAAATGTTATTAGGAACCCGTGCGCTAGAAAAGGGAACTGATGGAGCATGTTACGGCATGGGGTTCAATTTCAATTGGAATCTCACAAACGAGAAGAGATTTCTCTGGAAGTGTAACGGGTTGGAACGGACACCTCCCATCCAAACTAGATCTTGACAACGCAGTGGGCGCTTATGCGCGAACCAGACGGGCCACAGAAGACACGAACATCTACACAAGGTCGTCGAAAACCAAACGCAATCGAAACCTAAATCGGATTTCTAAGATATGCGAAACGTGTATTTAGTGTAAGTCGAGTTAGCGCGAGGTAAGTGTACAGCGTCAGCGGCGACACAGTTCGTACATCATCCACATAATGGACAAGAACTGTTGACGGTCTTCAGTCCCATTCGTTCCGTACCGATCTCGATCGTACCCGCGGAAAAAACATGATCGGGTGCACCGACGCGGGAGACCAAGAAGAAAAAAAGATGAGCATCCTGGCCGGAGGCATGTGCGCGGACGAGAGGGGAGGGGGGCAGGGAACAAAAAAGAGGGGAACCAGAAATTCTGGGAGATAGCATGGCCTTGACCATAATATTTCCGCACTCACACACACACACTAGTCTACGCGGGAAACGGGATACAACAAGAAGCAGGGAAGGCTGTCGGGGAAAAACGGAAGAATCGCGGTGACCTGGAGGAGGGGGGACCCCTTGTAACCACGGGTTGGGGCGACGAGGACGAAGAGGACGAGGACGAGGAAGACTCAGGCTTCCGACGTTGTGATTGCTGCACCACGTGACAAACAAACGTCTGGGCTCACTCCTGGGGGCCGGGTTTCCACCCCAAACTTAAATCCCGAGGACGCGGCAAAAGTGCCCCACGATGTCGCCAAGACCGTCTTCGATGGCCCCGAATCGCCGAAGTATCGGTCCAAGTCGCCAAGGTAACCTCCAGACGGCTCTACAGGTTTCCAAAACACCCCAAGAAGCCTCCAAGAGGACCTACAAGACGGCCCCAAGGGGCAAAACACGTCGATTCCCCATAGGTGTTTGAAATATTTCAGCATTCTCGCCTTGTCAGCTTCCCGACGCTCCAAGACAGGCCCAGAGGCCTCCAGAACCGCCCCAAGATGGCTCAAGAGGCCCCCAAGAGAGCTCCACAACGACCCAAGAGGGCCCCAAGACCGCCCAAGAGGCCTCAAAGACAGCCGAGGAGGCCCCTAAGACGGCTCTAAGAGGGAACCCAGACGGGGGACCCGAACGGACATTTCGATCCCTCTGCCTGAGAAGCTCTCAGGAAGTCCCCAGGGGACCCAGAGGCCCCTCAGAAGCCCACCAAGAGCTCCCAAGAGGCCCCCAAGAGACCCCCAGGAAGCCCCAAGAGGCCCCCACGAGGCTCCCAAGCGGCTCCCAAGAGCTTCCCAAGAGGCCCCCAGACTACCCCCAAGAGGCCCCGAGGGCGGTTGTCGTCGTCGTCGTCGTCGTCGTCGTCGTCGTCGTCGTCGTCATTCAGGGTTGGCGGCACCGGCCGCAAGGCCTTCGCAACACCCACACATGCCCAAAAATACAAAAAACAAAAAAAATCCCCTGACCAATTGTCGGACTATCTTTGAATATTCGCCCTGTAGAGGGACACGCCCGACTCAACCCAAGCTTGACGGTCCCGAGGCCTACTGAGGGCCCCCCAAGCGCCGAAGATTGCCATGCACAGTCGTCGTGCCATATTTGTCCCAACCCTCCTGCATTGGGTTCTCGTTTTGAATAGAGCACTGCTCGCGCGTCTCCTTCCCACTCCCTCCCGTCCCTCTCTTCTCCCTTGCCTTTCGCCTCGCTCGTCGCTGCGTGCCAGCTGGGGGGTTGCGATCTGTGAAACTGTCGCCACGTTCGAAACCTGCTGGGGGGCCCAGCACAGTGCACCCGCGGCGGACTCAAATGGGACCTCGCCATCCCTGGGGGGCTGCGATCTGTGAAACTGTCGCCACTTTCGAAGGCTGCTGGGGGGCCCAGCACAGTGTGCACCCGCGGCGGACTCAAATGGGACCTCGCCATCCCTGGGGGGCTGCGATCTGCGAAATTCTCGCCACTTTCGAAACCTGCTGGGGGGCCCAGCGCAATGTGCACCCGCGGCGGACTCAAATGGGACCTCGCCATCCCTGGGGGGCTGCGATCTGTGAAACTGTCGCCACTTTCGAAGCCTGCTGGGGGGGCCAGCACAGTGGGTACCCGCGGCGGATTCGAATGGGACCTCGCCATCCCTGGGGGCTGCGATTTGTGAAACTGTCGCCACTTTCGAGGGCTGCTGGGGGGCCCAGCACAGTGGGTACCCACGGCGGATTCACATGGGACCTCGCCATCCCTGGGGGGCTGCGATCTGTGAAACTGTAGCCACTTTCGAGGCCTGCTGGGGGGCCCAGCACAGTGGGCACCCACGGCGGATTCACATGGGACCTCGCCATCCCTGGGGGGCTGCGATCTGTGAAACTGTCGCCACTTTCGAGGGCTGCTGGGGGGCCCAGCACAGTGGCACCCGCGGCGGACTCAAATGGGACCTCGCCATCCCTGGGGGGCTGCGATCTGTGAAACTGTCGCCACTTTCGAGGGCTGCTGGGGGGCCCAGCACAGTGGCACCCGCGGCGGACTCAAATGGGACCTCGCCATCCCTGGGGGGCTGCGATCTGCGGAATTCTCGCCACTTTCGAGAGCTGCTGGGGGGCCCAACACAGTGTGCACCCGCGGCGGACTCAAATGGGACCTCGCCATCCCTGGGGGGCTGCGATCTGTGAAACTGTCGCCACTTTCGAGGCCTGCTGGGGGGGCCAGCACAATGTGCACCCGCGGCGGACTCAAATGGGACCTCGCCGTCCCTGGGGGGCTGCGCTCTGTGAAACTGTCGCCACTTTCGAGGGCTGCTGGGGGGGGGCCCAGCACAGTGCGCACCCGCGGCGGACTCAAATGGTACCTCGCCACCCATGGGGGGCTGCGATCTATGAAACTGTCGCCACTTTCGAGGGCTGCTGGGGGGCCCAGCGCAGTGTGCACCCGCGGCGGACTCAAATGGGACCTCGCCACCCCTGGGGGGCTGCGATCTGTGAAACTGTCGCCACTTTCGAGGGCTGCTGTGGGGCCCAGCACAGTGGGTACCCACGGCGGACTCAAATGAGACCTCGCCATCCCTGGGGGGGCTGCGATCTGCGAAACTGTCGCCACTTTCGAAGCCTGCTGGGGGGCCCAGCACAGTGGGTACCCGCGGCGGACTCAATGGGGACATCGCCATCCCTGGGGGGGGGCTGCGATCTGTGAAACGGTCGCCACTTTCCAGGCCTGCTGGGGGGCACAGCGCAGTGGGTACCCACGGCGGATTCAAATGGAACCTCGCCATCCCTGGGGGGCTGCGATCTGTGAAACTGTCACCACTTTCGAGGGCTGCTGGGGGGGCCCAGCACAATGGGCACCCACGGCGGATTCAAATAGGACC